TCCGGCAATACATATGGTGTAGGACTGCCAGTCAAACGGAAGTTGCTTTTGTATGTCTAGATCCTTTACTCTTAAAAATCGTATAAAATTCTGCAACGTGTTTCTAGAAATGTGCCTGGCAAACATGGGTGTATTGTCTGTCTGCGCGCGGACAGTCATAAATTGTGCGTGTATCTTGGTTTCCGCTTTTTGTTTTGTACCACACTCCACAGCTGAACGTTGCTCCAAACAACACGCAATAAAAGTTTAAGTTTTAATTCCAGTTTATAATTTATTATTTGTCATTTGAAAGACAGCAAATGCTTGTTCACTGCATCGTTTAGCTGCTCCTAGAAAATTGTACCAAAAAGGTCTATCTGCTTGTCTTTGTCGCAACATTCGCGCACCTTCCAGATATTAGGATCGCCTTCACACTCGATCCACGGGCACCCAAAGAGGCGCGATGGTAGCGCAGTCGAAATTAATAAACGCCAGGTCACGGTCAATATCCTGAAGGAATCCCAGATAGTAATCACTTTCTACCAAATTCACTAGTACTGCATGGCCCAAATTAAAGTATCCAGGGCGTTGTCCGCGCGAGACGTCTTTTGAAGCGGCATAAAAGTTGTGGACAAGGAAGAAACTTGAGAATATCTGTTAAAAGGAACAACAAAATCTGTGGGACGTAAGCAACAGCGCATCAGTTCATTTTGTATGCGACAGTGACGATGTAGGCGACCGTTGCGCTGTCCGTTCCCAATTCTTACAGCTATAGTAAGTTCGTGATACCGCACAACTATTAGCATGTATGATGTACTAGACCGACTAAAAGCCAAAAAGCACAACTAAAACCAATATCTACCTATTTGTTTCTGAGTCTGCTTGAAATAATTTTAGCCTGAAAAGCACGTCATAACAAAAAGGCAGTTGTATTTTGAAAGTAGGCCACAAATCCGGATGACCGGATCAAATGCTGTGTTAGAATTCAACTACTGTTCCAAACGGAAACAGAGCCGTATGCAGCCAGTGTCTACTGCCCAGGTCAAATACTGTGGCACCACTGATTATTTTTGTGACTAGGATAACAAATCCATTGTTACGGTAGGTGGTAAACCAGGACATAAGTTGACACGAATCGGTATATTTTGTTGCTGGAATATATACAGCAAGGTGGGCCAAAACAGGAAAGATTTTCCAGGTCCAGGTCTTTGAACTTCAGGCTGTGATAATAAGGTTTCGAACGTTTTAGTGCTACCTTGTAGTAACTGGGTTTGGCCAGGCACGCTGTATAGCGTCAGGACCTAAGCGCAGTTAGTTTATTTCGCCTACAGAAGAGTGATCCTCCGTCTTAGACCAATTGTCTGGTAAAACTGCTAACATGCCTCTTACTGACCAGTATTTTTCGTGCGGAAAACGAAAGGGCTGCTTCAACCTGGGAAATGCAGTGCTGGTTAAATTAGTGGGTCACGATGAATATTACCTGGGATTTCTTCAAGATATGGACAGTGGTCGTTATTTTATTGATTTCGACTCCGCCAGCATCCTTCCACAGTGGGTGCCCGTTGCACAAATATGGACGCTGTTACTTCATGAGAGATACATCTATCCAAGGTGTGCGAACAAAGTGCACGTTGCCTTGCGCGATACAGAAAGCGGCCCCTATATCTTTCGCCCTGGGAAACTTGTGCAACGTAATACGTATCGGAATCTCTTTTTAACCTGTGTTACTGTGGATGCCGATGACCAACCTGGAAACAGCTTTCTCGTGGTCCATCATTGGCAGGTCGTAGAACACTTGCCCACGCCTCACGATGAACCAGCAGAGTGGTTAGGTCCCCAACATGTAACTGTTCCTGTGCCGGAATCAACAAAATTGTTAAACATCCATGAGAACCACATTATCCGTATGTTAGAAATGGTGTTCCGGGATGGGGAACCAGAAAAGTTCCGGTGTCTTCTGGATCGGTTTTCCGTACAGGTGAAAACAGGTAAAGTCTGTTTTTTTATCCTGCACATTCAGTGCCCAAGAGGGTCGGCTACCTGCTGTGTGGACTGCGTCGGTAGTGGACGCGAGTTTTGTTGGATGAACAACACCGCGAAGAGGACAGCTGCGGGCGTTAAGAATTATTTACTGAACTACTGCGACCAACCGGAGCCGTGTCACAACCTTAAAGAGCGTTTGACCTACTGTAAGTAAAGAACTTTTTTCCGGCAGGCTCCTTACGTGCTGTAACAAACCGGCCGCATTTAAGGTTGGTGACACCAAAACTAATAAATTTTTTGTTAGAAAGTAATAGTACTTAATCACTTATGATGTTGCATTTAACCCAAACAACAGGCAAATTTTTAGTAGGCTGGCTTTGATTTTTTCTAGTGCATAATTTCGATCCGTAACTCTTACGCATTCTATCGATCTGTATAAAACTAGATTTATTTGTCATTTGAACGACACACTCTGTCGGACACATGGCGCCCTGGTAAGTACGAGCATTAAATAATTATGCAATTGTCAGGTTCTGTTCACCCTCTATATGGCTGCTGTTAGCTATGCCGCCCATTGTAATATTCAGATTGACCATTAATTCATGTTGATCAGTATTCACTTGAATGCGAAGCTAATATCACCCATTTCGGGTTGTCTTTTATAACCTTAGTGGGAGAAGCTCTGTTCAGTGATATGCCACCCGAAATTTCAAAAGAAGTGCTGGTGTCTCTGGACGTTCACTCTAAAGTTAGTGCCAAAAGGTGAGAGTTTTGCGTGCCGATGTCGCATGGGCATCAATTTTTAACGACTACGCAGACGGTCATCCAGCATCCGAATATGTGGGGGTGTCCTGTAGTTTACGTGCACGACAAATTTAAGGTTATGCGTCATTCTCTGATGCACTGATAGAACTTGCGCGCTCTGGAATTCCATTTTGGCGGATCCCGCCAGCACAACCTGCACTGTCATCGACTTTGCCGATCTAACTGCGAGTATACAATGGCCGCTTCGCCGCGAAACGCAGGGCTATTTAACGGCACGCCTCCTGCACCGAACCGTGACTAAATCCACCAAAATATTGGTTCTGCGCAATCTTTTCCGCAACTGTGCTGATGCAGAAGTGGATTCTCGTGTGGGTCTTATTGTGGATCTGCTGAAGATAATCTGCGTGGTTCCGTTGCTCATCCTCCAAAACACATGCGTGTTCGTGGCCCCGCTGTTTCCGCGAGACGATGACGATCCGGACGATCGGCACCTGGGGTCCATGTACTTCCTTCCGCTACGTTTCACCCGGGTGTGCCGTCGACTGATTATTCGACACTACAGTGTTGATCTTGCACGGTGTTATGGCTACGAGTTTGAGCACCGCATGCCCGGGCTCACTGACACCATGGAACCGTTGAATCTCACGATTACGATCCCCATAATGAGTTTTTCCAATGTCAGCAGTAAGATGGAGAAGTTACACTGCTTGCAAAGTTTCAAATTAGGATTAGAGGCGAACTTTCCTCCAGTGGATCTTTCCGTAAAACTCCAGTTGAAAAGTCTTTATGCTAGTTGGGTGGAAACGGTGCCATATCCTGGACCGCAGTGGCGTGAGCTGTGTCAGTATCTAATGCTGTGAGTATTATTGTTTCCTCAGTTACGTACAGAGTAATTGTTGTACTTACCACAAACTTAAATTAAATATGTAGGTAATTTCAAGAAAATTACTTTTTTAATCTCTGTTTGAATTTGGATGAAACAGTTATAGTATGCGGGTAAGTATCTTTACCCATACACAATTGGTAACCCCTTCACGATAACGTGTAGTGTAAATGTGCAAATACTAGTAACTGAGTTGAGAATAAAGAGTTGAATACTTTCAAAGAACAGTAACTGAGTTGAATACTTTCAAAGAATTTGAGGCGAATAGATTTTCTTAGGCGATTAGCATGTACTTTGGTGTTTTTCGTTCAATAGTTGCAATAGAAACTTGGAACACATGAAAAATGCTTGGTGCAACACCCATAGTTTCGCCCAACACGATGTCTTTACAAACTTTTTTCGCCTCATTACATTGTTCATAAACATAAAATGCAAAGGTTTTTATTTAGACACTGGGTATATAACATTAATTTGTGACTGATAAAGCGCAGCTCCGAACTCATTGTGAATTTTAAACTGGCATATTGCTTAAGCTTTAATTAGCCTCGAGTAAGGACTACGGATTGATAAAAGGGATAGAAATATCCCTACGTTAATTTACATTTACAATAAGGTATACCGTCAATAATGGTGGTGAATCGGTGTCTCACTTCATTTACGCTGCAAGATAGCTGTTATAAAACTTACATCGTTGATAAGCATATTATATTTGCAGTTATGGCACATGTGACTCTCCAGAGCTTTCCCGTTATTGGAAGGAACGGGATATGAGGGATTTAGACGTGATGGAACTTGGAAATTTTCAGCTCACCATAATGGCTCGCGGTTATCTGCCGGAACCAATCAAGAAATATCAGTGGGCGTAATTAAAGTTGTTTCGATAGGCTAAATTGTACCTCATACCGGATGGCAACTGCAATGCTGCGGTAATAAGGCTATTTTTATGTTGGAAACTTTTATAAACGTTCTGGCAGTACTATCTCCACTATAACGGTTTTTCCGATATTTGTGCTTTGGTAACACTAATGGAAGTTTTGAAAAGGCCCTGGGGGGAAAGTAAACTATATAAGCTTCGCCACGTAATCCCTATGAATACTCTGTCTTCAAAAAAAGAAATGAAATTTTTCTACGAGGTATTCCTCTGACCGGTCCCTGGTTGGTAGCATGAGCGATGGCGCAACAGATTGGATTTACCTAATACCTACAGAGTGCCTGCATTAAAGGACGATGAGCGTTATCATATATGCCAATGTAAGCTGTTTACGGCACCAAATGAATAAAATCACAAGTAGCACACAGATGCAAAAGAATACGAGTATAGTTAGAGTCATTTCTCGTCCAGGATTTTGTGGCAAATAGTTTCTGTGCAAAGACACGCGCCGTAAGCATGTCAGTTTTTCGTTTTATTCAGTTGAACACAACTTATGTACATGTTCCAAGCAAAAAAAGCTCCAGCCATAGCTTCGGCAGCAATACATAGTTCCCACGCGAAAAAACAAGTAGTTATTAACATTAGTCTGTAAAAGACAGTGCAAAGTTAAACTAGCAATATTCCGATACAACAAGTAAGATGACATCCAAAACCCGAACACTGGGAAAAAATAATTTACAGTTGCTCCAGTAAACTTTTGAACTCTAATTTGCCCCTGCAGCGTGCAGCACGCCTAATGTTATGATACATTTCTTTGGAAAGTATAACCATCGATGTTGCCGGAAAAGCGACTGCAGTATCCCATCGTCAAAGAAAAATACCGATTATTCTGGCAAATTGCCGTTATGCAATTAAATTGTGTACAGTATTATTGTAACAGCGCCAGATTACGCGGTTAATGGTCGGAATGAGCTCGGGAACGTTGTTCGTGTCCGGAAATAGACTGAGAAGCCTGCAACCTTGCATTGGTTGGGATACATAATATTATTTCCTTTCATATAAGAAAAGTATTCAGACTCAGCGATCGTCAAACCTTTCACTACTTGCAAAGCTTTACCTATCTTGACACTTGGCAGTATACAAAACAAACGAACTCTTCTCTGTATTTTACCGGCGAAGTATCGGCAACGTCCCGCTGGAATTTTTCTTGTGGCCCGTTATTTCCAGAATTTGTGGTCTGTCCACCAGTTCCATGTCCATCATGTTTATCTTCCGACATTGAAGACGCACGGCGATGCCACATGCGGTATGGCCAGCGCTTTCTTTTCTCAATGTCAACGTTCCCGGCATCCATACTTTTACGGAAAAGCCTGGGCATGATATTATGACCATGCTCGTCGTCCGACACGGATGACTTTCGCCGATTACCGCTGCCATACGGTGGCGGATGGATGTGGTAGATGTTCATCCCTTCAGAAATTTGTGGTACCCAACAGGACATGTTGTAGAAAATTGCTACGTTACTGATGATTCTCAGTTAAGAGTGAATAGCGTAACTTCCTATTAATTTAGTTTGTTAGCGCCAAGCGTACTCAAAAGGTTGCTAAATTAGCAAATTAATGACTTTGCTAAAGAAAGCCGATTCCCTTTAAATAATATTCAAGCTTCGTAAAAGTAAATGATGCAATAACCAGCTAAATTTGCAAGCTGCGGTGGTGATCAGCCAAAGTGTAGCGCTGCAGTAACACGGCACCGGATATGTGAGAGATGTGATATCATCCGGTTTTATGTTAAATAATTGCACACTACCATAATTAGCAGAAAAGAATTTTATCAGTCTGACAGTCGCATGACAACCGTAGCAAAATCAGTGTTTGTCAGCAATGCCATGCTCACATGCCGGTCTCCATAAAACGAGGCACGCATAAAACTGTGATAATACGCGGTATGTACAGATGTGTACTTTATTTCAATAGCGTGATAACAATATCAAGATCTAATTACGGTTAAACGAAACAACATTCTCAACGGTACCGAATACGGAGGCAGCATTACCACGTTGAATTGCTAGAGAGATGTTCTGTTTCAAAAACTCAAGACTACGAATCTCGCCAGTTTGTAGGGAAATCCTCTTCCCAATTTCGTTAACAAATCGTTTGGCAGATGTACCAAAACTACCGAAAGTTTCGAAGCCGACAGCCGCAAATTCGTATCGTCCCAACAGAAAACTGTACTTTTTGGCTTTCTCGGCTTCGGCATGGTCTGCTGCCGCTCCGGCCTTTACACTGGTCTGATCCAAATACGAACGGGCGACAGTATCAACACAGGTAACATCCCATGCCAAACACAGTCCCCTGGTCCATGGGAAAGTGGTGATGCCATCGGGACGTGTTTCGTTATCGTGATGCATGCCTCTAGGTTCAGTCCTTGCGGGAATACCTGCTGAGCCAAGAGCCCGTCGCAAGATGTCGTTAATGCAGTCATGTCTAGACCGTCTTCCCGCTGAAAATTTGCAGCTCAGGCCATGATGACCGTCTGCTGCAACGTCGCTTCCACATTTACACTGGTGATCGGATGACGCCGGTGCGCCAAGCCGAATTGCAACGGCAATCCGAAACGTCTCATCATCTAAAAGGTTTCCGATGGAGGAAGATGGAAGTGCGTGTGTCCAAGCGCCTGACTCCGGAGTGGAAACGGCTAACAGCCGGGCTTTGCTAGCAGGGTCTAAAGCATCGTGCAGCATGGTTGCCTGCTCTGTTAAACAATACGGAGTGTCCCATGCGCGTTGCAGGTGTCGGCTTTCCGATAAAGGAGGCGGTGCGTCGTCGGACAGGTACCTCCAAAGAGCCACGTGGTCCGTCACGTCAACTCCTGCTGAATGCGGCAACAGTCGGCAAACCAGACCTTGGGTAGCGTGAATCGAGGCCAAGTTGGCCGGCAAAGATAATTCCTCTACCCGTCGGATCCCGAGCCCACCACAGCGCACTGGCAGGGAAGCTTGACGCCATGCGGATGTGTCCATGCGCACATTGCAGATGGACTGCAGCGACTGTCTAAGAACGTCGTCAAATTCGATGAGACTGTCTCGTGCTTCGAAGGTTGGGCAGCAACGTAAAAGGTGAATAACCTTTGGCGCGCTGAGACTGCACTTCAATAAGAAGTAAGCTTGGTGTTTGGGTAACAGGTCGAGACGATTAGCAATTAGGCGCATAACTTCAGTTTTCTGCTGTATCGCTGACGTGATGCCGTTCTTCATCAGTGGAGCACCCAACAGACAGAGGTTTTCCGGTGCAGCAACTGAAACAGTTGGAAAACGTTCAAGGAAGGTTTTCACAGCTGCTTCCCGTTCATCGCAGGTCCCTCCACAGACAAAAATCTCACACTTAGACATGTTGACACTGAGTCCGGCTGCGTGTGCTGTATCGATGACAGTCTGGAAGTCCGCTGCGACTGTTTCGACACACCCACCAAGTGTACCGTCGTCAAGAAACCACGCGTTAAAAGCTGCCTTGAGCGCGGAAGTTAGTGGAAGAATTCCCAGAGAAAATAAAAGTGGACCAAGTGGATCGCCTTGGTGGATGCCGCTCTGCGAGGACAAAATTTCATCGTCGAGGTATAGCTCCGAATAGTGGCCGTAGCAGGCGTACAGGTAGTTCGCATATTCTGGAAGATGAACACTCGCAACTTCCATGACGGTGGCGCGGGAAATACAGTTGAAGGCATTCTTTAAGTCAATCTTCAGAAGAATTTTTACCTGATCTGGATCACTGCTCAAGAATTCACGAGCGGCATGCACGATCGCCTCGGCGCCCCCGTTGATACCGAACCCCAATTGACTTGGTTGAAGGGCAGCTGTAGACCGTTCTTTAACGCGGCGGCATATGACTTTAGCCGTTAATCGTCTCAGAGTGTTACCGACCGCAATAGGCCTCAGGCCACCGTCTTTCTTCCGCAAGGCGATGAGTTTTGCACCGAAAAAATACGGACGAACGGAGTCTGGAATATTTCCCTGAACAATGATGTCCAGTAGCTGGGCCAGGCTTTTGCAAAAACTTGCGGAGACATCATCTTGAACTTTCCCCAACATATCCAGTAGGTGCTGAGGTAAAAGGCCGTCAGGACCTGCAGCGGACCCGCGTCGAAAACTGAGGATCGCATGACGTACCTCGTCCGCTGTAACCAATGGCGCTGGTGCGGTAATTCTGGGTCTATCAGGCAAGGGAGACTCAGGATGTTTGGTTGCCATGATATCCAGGACCTCGCGCGACGTTTCAGCTATAGCATCAGTGGACATCAAAATGCGAACGGCCCCCGAACAATCGCCATCGTCAATCTTGACCCCTACGCGTCTCACCAAGTCGCTGTTAGGATCTTTAGGCTTTTTAGGCTTCTTCCGTTTCCGACCTGGCGGACGTTTCTTCTCACTTTCAAAGTCTGCTACCGCGTTTTTCATCAAAGTGGCGAGAGAGACTTTGCGGGCACCATCAGGGCTTTCTGGAACAGCTAATACCTGCGATGCAAAAGACAGGAGCGTTATCCAGTGCTGCTCATCGTTATGTTGCACGGCATTCTTGATGGTTTTCTCAAACGACGCTGCCACGGCTCGACGGGCGCCGTGTGGTACCCGGCGAGTAATTCGTTCTTTTGGCAACGTTGGTCTGCGTGCAGCCTGATCGGCGGGCGGGTTTACTGTCATCGGCGCAGAAGCTGCTGAAGCAGGAGGCTGTTGGGTTGAGACGGGAATAAGTTCGGGCTCTTGCGACAGGGTTCTGGGACATAATCGCCTGTGAGACCCCCATCCCTGTAACAATTTACCGCAGCCAGAACAGGAGTATTGAGGCATAATATTAGCAGCCGCGGAGGAGCATTTGCAGAGAAAAACTGAGGCTGGAGACTTACGGGTACTCCGCTGGTGTGTCGCGGGATGTCTACGGGACAGCTGCCACCACACAGCCTCTGGAGAACAACAATCTACCAGACTAAGGTCCCGTAGCCACCCTCCATACTGGATGACGGGAAATTTGCCATCCAGGGGCAAAACAAACAAGCCCAATCAATCATCATCCAAAACATCATCATCCAAAACAACATTCATTCAAAAACCGCCCATCGCAAACGAATCGCAAACGTGCCACGGTTTGGTGAACCATTAGCAGTTAATCATTTGGACTGAGCTTATCTTATTTTCTTGAAATTTACAAAATTAATTTAGAGGTTTAGACGTCTAAAAACAGTTTTTGTTATTTGGATCTCCGAATATTTTAACGCTTCACCATTCAATTACATTTGTACAGATTCATTAGTGTACTGTCTTTTACGTTCATTATACGCATATGGTAATAAAATTACATGAGATGAAATTATTGCTGATTGGTAGTGGGATGGTATTAATTTGCATCGAGCGCAACGAGATGCTACTAATATCCTTCGTCAAGAGCATAAAATTTTTCTGACGCCATGAAGAGCGTACGTCACACTTTTCCAATCCTACAGATCCAATACCATTACCCATTGGTACTGGAGCTTGCGCTTGTGCAATATTGTAGTTTACTATCACCACTAGTATTTATGTTGTTCACTTCTTCGTGTCCACCATGATCAGAAGCATTGAGTACATGGTTGAATAATGAAACGCTCAGCAATCCAGTTTGTTAATGATTATCACACTCTTATGCGTCTACGGCGATACGGCACGACGGAAACGCTTGTGACACGCTGCAAATTGGCGGCACTAAACAAGTAATTAAAGCAATCACAACACAGAACAAGTCGCGTGGTGTTTTCGTGCTGTTGTAATTAATCAGCCCGCATATAAGTGAATAAATACGCAACACAAATATTATACATATTATCCTAAAGCATAAGATAAAGGGGGCCAATAACTGCAATCGATTGTCTCTCGAAGAACTTTTGCCAGAATTTGAGTTGGAAGACTGAGCAGCGGTCGCCCTATGCAAGAAAGAGAAGAGCGTACAAAATATTATGTCTAAGCTGGTCAACAATATGTTAAAACGAAATTCGTGGCAGACTTTTCACTCATCACCGTAAACTATAATTTATTCCACGACGATAAGATTTTACTCCCAGGCACATCTTTGGTAGACTCGTTTTGCCAATAAAAGTTGGTTTGTTGGTTCCAGTTGCACAAACATCGTACAGATCAACATGAGATCAACAAGAAAACAAAAACCTTCTACGGATGCGAAGCAGTCTTATCTCACTCTTTTTTTCCGCACTCACGGCCGTACTGTACATATACGCGCTCTGACGGCAGTCAACGAAATTGATGTTTGGCGCAATCAAAACTGATCGGATTCAGTACTCGTACGCTGTCACCGCTGATGCCCTGCATCAGTCCAGATTGCCACAATGTGCATCAGAAAGCGCCATTATAAAGTTCGTAAACTTCAGCTCACCACTGCGCATGCGACAAAAAAAATACGATGACTTCGTTCAACAGTAAAAGTCAACGACAACAACTTACGCTCGAAAAATTTAAAATTGCGCTGTAATACACTTTCTTTGTAACTCCGATTCAGAATACGCATGAAATCTTATGATTGATAATGGAAACTTTATTGATTTCTGTAGCGCCATACTCGCAAAATAAAAGCATGCATTAAAAGTGGACATTGTAGCAGCAGTTTACCACTGACCAGAGTTCCGTTTGTGCAACCTTCTTTAGCTTTTGCCCGGTCACAGCGCTGAAATTTTTCCTTCTTCTTAATCCTTCTTAACAGTCGCTCGAACGCTTCTTTGATAGCGCACGATTGCGCTGCCAGCAAAACCGGATACAAGCCGAAAATGCTTACGGAACCGCTATATGGCGATTCTCCCCCATATCATCGGAACAAGCCATCTGTTACAAGCCGCGTCTGATTTACTTTTAACGAAGACGCCTGGATCCACCTGGCATCGCGGCGTACGCTGATATAAAATTAGACGTATTATTATTCATTGACGTAGCAGGTATTTGGGTTACTGTTGTCAAGTTTTCAGTGTTATCAGATACTTTAATGAAAGGCGATTAAGCTCTTTATAAAATTGTTCGCCTTTTTGCTCTTTTCTATAGTTTTTTTTGCCAGTTTGACTCTCCGCTCCAATCTCATGTTTTGCAATTTCCATTTTGTGCGCTAGGGTTGTTCAAACTTTTCTAATTTTCGTAATCAGCAGACGCAATAAAACGTAAATAATACAATGAGAGAATAAGGACGTTTTGGGGCGCAACATCTTTTGCAAACAATTTCTGACAGACACACCAATAGGCAATACGCCATTTCGATTTTGAAAAAGACTGTTCAGAAATCTTACAATTCAGTCAGGTTTCTTGAGAGGTTTGATTCCTCCTGCGAATGACCTTTACACTTATGACATAAGTTTATATATGAACTGACATACTATAACACGATGTTTGGAATGCTCAAGAATGAAAGCGTTAGTGGAGTTACAGTGAAGCGCCGTTTTATAACTACTGGAGCAAATTTCACTTGTTTTATCAAAACTTTTGCCGCCGGAATCAAACCATTCAAAAATAAATTGTGGTCGCTGATCTAAGCCATTTTGCTTCTAGAGGGATTGAGCTACTAATAATAAACTTAAAGCTGTGCTGTGCTCTTGCGATCAATCAACATAAAAAAAACATAAGAAATTTAAAGCCAGAGGCATTTTTTAAAATACTCTGTTACTACCGTTGTAACAACAGTGACGGAAATTTACCGTGAGATGGTCGCTAATAGTACCACTTTCTAAAACAGAAATCTGAAGTTTAAGTATACTGCAAGAACAGAAATCTGTTGGATGAAAAGACTATTCAGCTATCAAACGGAAGTGAATAGTACGCTTGTTTCCGCGAAGGAGAAGAAACACACTTACAAATCTGGTAGCAATCCTGTGGCATATGCCTATCATCCGATGGCAACGGAGTAATTTGTTTGTTGTGGTGAGTTGATAATCAGTTGGTTATGCAGCGAGCACGCAGAGAATCACGTACTAAATACATACAGATTCTGCAATAGCTGAACACTATTTAGCTATTTAGCTGACTGGCGATGTAGTCGTTGTACTCCTTCGCACTAGCAAAATTGAATTTTCAAGGCGAGGAATGCCTCTGATACAAAAATCGGCATGAGGTTTTCCTTTACATTGCAGAGTTTTACTCAGTTCGTATGGACAGTCATACTGTGATGTGATTTGCAACGGAAGAAAGTGGCCAGAAAATATCAACCAGTGAATAATGTATTAAATGTACTTTATGTCTCATAAAGCAATCAATAAAATGTTGACTCATGGTTTGTCTGTAAGTGCTTTAAAGCATTTACAGACTCCGGACGAATTCATCAGCATCGGGATTGCAGAGAGCGTCGTCTCCTGGATCAGTCAAGCCGGTTACTATGCCTCCGTATTTGCGTTGACAGAAATCAGTAAAGCCGGCGATCACCCTGTCGAATATCATCTGCCCGACATTCTGATGTCATCGATATCGGTGACGAATACGTTCAGCGGTAAACCGATCCGATCTGTTCAGGCGTTGATTGTTTTCTCTTCGATATGTTCGCGCTGTCCTTGCTTGGCCAAGCGCGATTACCTTCTGTTGATGCAAATAAATTCGAGCTGCGAAGCAACGAGCAAAATGGAACCAAACAAGCGGCCCAAAAGGTTTTTCGTTTGTGTCGTGTATCATATAGTATAAGAAAATTCACTTACTCAAGGATGCTTAAAAAACCAGGTTGTCTGAAAAAGTTAATCAATTTTAATAAGGGTGCCTATAATTAACGGGATGCGGCAAAAGGGGTGGCTATAACGAGGTGTTGGGGTTGGCTGTAGTGTCATCCTAATTTTTTTCCCATTAGAGATTTAAAAAATACTAGATTACTGTACTGACACCCTGCACTCGGAGAAAGTTTCTGCTGTGCAGCCACGCGTACGTTGTACGACTGCGTTCACTGCTCACATACACGGCTTGCAACTGCATGCAGACTGCTGGCTATTGGTTGAACGCATCGGCTTTAAATCCACCTGTCTACAGTCTTGTGCTTCTCATACTGTACAAAATTTCTCCAAGTGCAGGGTGTCAGTACAGTATATAAAAATGCGACCCAGTTCAGCTGTTTTAATGAGAAAAAATTCCACTGCTTTAAAAAAAAAACCGAAAACATGGAAAAATGCCCCGTTCCACATTTGCAGAGAATCAAAAATATTGTTACAGCCATTACATGAAACAGTTTCATCTCCGTAAGCACGCTTAAAACTTCAAAACGACAAACCATCCCAGTCACCACGTGTTCACCATTACAATAACATATGACACTGCAACAACCCATGCAATAACAACAAAACGGCGCTTAACCTGCTTATTTCGCATTCCGCGCTCCGTCCACATTGCAGCGACGCTCTACGGCGCTACCTGTAGAAAACAAGTGATATTTATAATTAATATTGCGGAGTATTGCCAGCATTTTCTTTAAATAAGTATTTAATTTACGCTCGTACATCTTAAAACAAACGACGTCGGTTATGGAACTGCAGCGCAGTCATCTCAGCAGCAGCGACCCGTGTAATGTTGCCATCATCTGCAACAATGATACCGTTCGACATTCGGACGCCACCCAACAATTTCGGTGCCGGTTTCTGATCAGGGTCCACAGCAAGAGCGCGCGAAGTTGAAGGCGGTGGATGCGCACGAGCTGCAGTCCGCATGCTTGGGTTGCCGCGCTTAGGCATTCCGCGAGAGAGCCGTGTTCCCATAGACAAGTTAAGGCGACGTGCTAAACAAATATTAAGGTTTGTTGTTCGGCACAGTTGCATTTTATATAATATTGTAATAAGAGAGTGCTACCTGGTGGTGTCGGTGCTCGCGTTGGGGGTGGACTTGGTGAGCATGCACGAGCCGGTGCAACAGTACATGCACGCCGCGACCCACGCATTCCACCAGCTACATGTCTACGTCGTGCTCCGCGGGAACAGCATCCTGATCCGGGGAACTTGGTCGGAGATCCCGCGCTCTGCATTATAGCAGCAGACCCGCGCCCACGTGCTGCCATGCGACGATACGCTAAACACAAACATGTGTACAGGTGCACAAAAATCAGTTACATAGGTTTTAAATTTGCGTCGTACCGTTCGTTGCCGCCGGTTTTTCCTGCCCAACTGCTGCCGATACCGGAGCAAACACCCGCCCAGGTACGACAGCACGTCTGCCACGAACAGAACGGCCACGATCAGAGCCACGCCCACGCACACCTACAATAGTAGTTTCACAAATAACTAAGTACCGGTATTTAAAGTGATTTTCAGTCAGTTTCTTGTTTCTTAGCGGCTACTGTTCTCATCTGGTACATAAACGTAAAAACTAGCAAAATATAATATCATACCGCTCTGGCTATCCGTAATGTGAAATGCATTCGGCTCACAAAGTTCCGGAGCTTCTGCTGCTTCCCTGTGACAAACCGGCGGACTTAAATTTGGTGAGGCTTGTCGAGTGTGTTCAGACATAGGATATCCGTGTTGGGCAATCGTAGTTGCGCGTCTGCGTTTGGCTGCTGGACCGTTTTGACGTTTGACAGTTTTGGCTGGCTGGGACGTAACAGCAGTGGATGTGGTTGGAGTATCACACAGCTGGCGCCATGGGTCGGACGTAAGTATACTGCGGGCACGCTCCGTCGTTAGTCCTGTTGTCTTGGATATATTGGACAGGTTACAGTTTCCCCCGATGAAATCATCGTAGGAAATGCGTTGTAGCTCGTCATGACTGCTAGTGCTGGCTTCGGAAAAATTATGGCCGGCTGTTTCTAAATTTTGAAAATAGTATTTTAAGAGTAGTCAAGAGCATTTGAACAAGTATTTGAGAGCTGTTGGATCTAGTCAATGCATTGCAAATCATATTTAAGCAGTAGACGGTTGTGGCTATCTAGGCAGTAAGCTTAACTCTAGCGTAGATAATATCATAAAACCGCCATTACTTGCACATGGAAGCGCAGGTTTACTCGCATGGATAGCTTAACCGGTAGCGCAACTTGCAAGCTCCGTAGTCCGTATACGGTACATCTCAAGTTTTCTATAACGACTAAGGCCTAACACGTATGTGAGCCGCTGCAAATTCGAAACCGTACACTCCGCTCACGGTATTTGCGCACAGCATATTATTTCGTTGCAACATAAAAACAACTCGTTAAGTCATGTATCAGTTTTTGTTTTCCTGGAACCCATCTCCATTTTCGCCATTAACCGAGCCGACTTTCGGCGCTCAGAGACAACCCGACGGCCAACGGCATCAGTAACTCCTGGTTGATGATCTGTCGGACCTTGATCGAGCCCTTTTGATTCCACTCCGTGCAGCTCAGCAGTTACGGCATCGCGCAGACGATGTACGTTCGGTGAGGTCAGTCCTCGGTCAGTATCTATAGGTAATATGCCAATAATGGCAGTGTCGTTCGACTGCTCTATGACGGCGTTGCCGGAGCGCTTCTCAGCATCAGCGTCGGCTACTTTATCCCGCTTCTGATTCGCAAGGGCTGTGAACTCCACTCCTGGTTTTTGAAAATCATGGGCTTTTGCTGTTTCTTTTCGATCCATTCGTTGATTTTCTGGCAGATTGTGACAACTATCCGTAGTCAGAGCATGATTATGTAGTAGATGCTTCAGAGTAATAACCAGGCGGTGTTGTTTTAGCCTTGCCGCTATAGTTATTTTTGCACCGCATCCAGCTCGTCGGGCATGTTGGAATGGCCTCTTTCCACATTTCTCAGCGTCATAGACCACGTGGCTGCCGCAAGCATAGTTAACTGACTTGTATCGCAAGGCCGGAAATCGGGGATCTTTGGCATTCAGCTTCTTCGAGCGACGAATAGCGAACGTTTGAAATGTCTTCTTTTGGTATTCCTTGAAGCTTTCGTCGAACTCTTGCCATGTACTAAAGTGATCCGACAGTTCGGCGCCATCTGGTTCAAAAAGGACTGAGCCGCTAGTGGTTTCCATCAGACTTTCCTCGTAATCAAAATAAATGATATTTCGCGCCACAGACTGCAATGTAAGAATAAAATGAGTAGAACACGGTTCGTTTTATAGAATTTTATAGAAACCACTTCTTCATGGAATCATGGGGTTGATTACACGAAGAATCAGGCTGGTCGCCTTATCGGTCAATTCCACAGACTGCTGTCTATGCTATGCTAACTGCAAGCGCTTTCACTTCATGTGTTTCAAAACAGGATTATCCAAGCGACACCTCAAAAGACGGAAAAAATAGAAACTTTTTGATGCCGAACGAGTTGTTTTTACAGAGGTAGACAAGATATAGTTATTTTAGATTCTTCGCAACTTACCGCTTACCAGTACCCTTGGTAATAACTGGTGTTTGGACTGCAGATAAAATTTTGCAAAGCGGTAGTTTCTGCCACGAAGAACACCTTTTGCCAGTGACGGCCGGTATATCACGGTTAGAAGATAGTATGCTCTCTAATTACGCTCAACCGCTTTTGACCTGCAAGGAGTCGGTAGACGCTGAATGGATCAATCAAAATTCCTGATTCATGGCAAATCACAATATTGCCGATAGGTGCAACTAATTGTTCTGTTCGAATTGTAAAATAAAGGATTATAATGGAGGAATTATGCTGAAGCTGGCGTTTTTGCAAACGGAGCCGAGAAGACAAATTCGTTGTAGAGGGGTTCAAGCAGGTATGTACGTACGTACCTATAAATATCTGGGCAGCTCTTAGCATAAGGAGTTAATTTTTTCTTATTTTACGGCACCCATACGTCAGGATAATCAGTTATTTTTACCGGACAAGATAATTACCAAGAAAGCCTTACGGAACTCAACAACCCTTCTGTACCGATATCAGACCATTGCACAATACTAGGCAACGGACTTTCCGCTCAACCCGGATGAGCAACTAACCTTTACGGCTTACCGTCGGTTGGCTCTGCGCAATGGCTTATTCGGCATAATTAGCAGTCATTCCCAGTGCCCGCGCGCATTCAGGGTCATTCCGCGTAAGCCTCCGCGGAATGACAGCCCGCAAAAGCAAGCTCGCAGAACTTTTTATGAAACTGTGATAACATTATCCCTTTCCTCGCTTAACTGATAAAAGCAAGTGCAAACCCAGATGCAGGTGATAAGTCATTTATTCGGAAAAGTCACATTATATCAAGGAGTATGTACAAACTCAGTGAATCGTGGTACTGTTTTTTGCAAAACAAATTCTGACACAGTGTTCGACTGAAGTTCCAGCAAAATGCACAGAAGTTGAATAGTACCATGGAGCCAGTCAACGGTCAACGGGCTAGGGATTCAGAGTAACAAATTCCCTTTTTTTGCGGGAAGATTTCGCATAGTGCTTCCAGGAAATGGTAGCTGTGTGCTTCAACTTACTGACAAAAAAGATTTAGTACATTTGTTCGACAATCGTACAGAGAAATGAACTTGTATTTTACAACTACAGCAGCTCGCCGATCAACTGGCTGCTTGTATCTGCAGCATGATTGCTGCACACGTACCGGTATCTGCTACTCATCTGTTTGCTGTGACCAAGAGAAAAAAATAAATTATGTTCGAAAGCCGCGAGCGTGTGCGTCAGGGATGTGGGTGTGGTTTCGTGGATTCAGTTTACGCTGAATCGTCGATCGTGTCTGCCTTTAGCAGAGCCGTACAGTGAGACTCCGTTGGGCCTCGGAAGAATCCTCGTCAACGAATCGTTGACGAGGATTCTTCCGAGGCCCAACGATGGAAATATTGAACTTGTACAGAATGCAGACGAAGATTAAGTAATATTATTAGACTGGAGCGATTATTGGACTGCAGCGTACTTTACACTTTACAATATGCTTGCCCATCGTTGCCGGTTTCCGGGTTTTGAACTTACATCCTGTACAATATAGAAAAATTCCGTCTGAAAAAAACTGTGCGTGGTTCTTGTCCGTAAAAAACAAATTGTGGTCACATTACGTCGTAGTATTGCTGTACTGATGTTAAGTGGGCTGCTATAATTATGTGAGAGATTGACCGAACTGTTGATACAGCTCAGTGCATTGGGCCGCAAGGTGTGACAGTGATCAAGTGAAATACTAGAAAACGGTAATGTGCTTTTCGACTTCATTTCAGATTTTATCAAAATCTAAAAAGATCCAATACAAATTAGGAACTGATTGAAATAAGCACGGTTTCGTCGGTTAACCACAAGAAACACAGAGGCGAAGATAAAACAGTTTCTTGTGCAAGTGCAGTATAACGTGCCCGTGGTAACAGGCCAGCTCATGTTAGCCCTGTGGCATCCATGGTAACAAGCTTTTGAGTGACCACCGGCCGTCTAATTCTTAAAACAGCAAAAGGTCATTAGTCTCACAACACCCACCGCCCTGAAAGGAATCTAGAATATTTTAAAGCAATGAAAATCGGTTTATCAGGAGCTGAGATCACCCGGGACAACGAGGAGAGGCCGAACACCTGCAAGAGATTTTTAGTATTCAGATAATTAACAGCCTTTTTGCATGATTTTGTCAATAATTTTTGAACACTTATCGATCGGTAATCATTCTAATATTCCTTACGTGTGGCTTAAAGAGCAGATTTTGTTTTCTTGTTGAAGGAACGGCTGCCCTACTACCGACGGGACAAACTCTTTGTTCGCATTAATTCAGTGTCGATCACGTTCTTAATCCAAAATATTGCGTGTTTTCACCAAACAGCGAAACTGCGTCGATTGTATACTGAGGAGTGCTGGAAAAAAGAAACAACGAAGAAGATCTCATTTGCTATGAAAAACTATATTTATCAGTACTGTTACGGTCCGAAAGTAGACGGTTACGCATCTGTTCTGCATGTCGTAGGTAAGAGTCTTGAATGCGTCGATTGTGTACTGAGGAGTGCTGAAAAAAAGAAACAACGAAGATCTCATTTGCTATGAAAAACTCTATTTATCAGTACTGGTACGGACCGAAAGTTGGCGGTTACGCATCTGTTCTGCATGTCGTAGGTAAGACCTGGCTTTGACGGATTAGCCATGTACTATACCATGTATTACAATACCATGTACCATGTATTATTTTGGCGAAATGCTTGCACATTTTCCGCAGATGGTCTCGATATGGAGCATCTACAAGATGCCATCTTATTCTTGAGATTATGCATTCTGTACCTTTATGTTGCTGGATGAAAAATCGGTTACTCCAGCTCACTGGTATAACGCTCAATTATAGTTCCTCTACGGGGTGAATTTCAATGTGGCTCACTGTTTCGCATTCCGACTTTTAAAGTTACAAATTGCATATTTGAATCGCTGTGATTACTGTCTGGCCGTAAATTAACTTTGGTGAAGGCTCCGCATACCACCTTTATACCACCTTTGGCTCCTAATACCGCCTTTCGTACCACGTTTGACTCCCCATACCACCATAAGTTTTTTTAAACTTTTGATAAAAATATAAGTTAAACTATTTGTTGCTATAATGTTTTACACAAGTTCAGGTTACAATTTTACAACATCGTATTTACACAAAAACGCGCATCAGAATGTTTTTAGAAAAAAGAACTGCTCCTACTAAAAAGACGCACCGGACGACAGGCCGAGAGATTTGTCAATCCGGGATTTGATTTCATATCCGCTATAGATGCGGCATTGTATGAAGCGAAGCGTGTAAATGTGGATGTGGATGTGGCTGCGCAAGCTTATCATTCAATTAATCCAGATAATAAAATTTGACAGACACATGCAAATGTTAAGTAATACATAAATAAATGGTGGTATGCGGAGTCAAAAGGGGTGTGCAAAAGGTGGTACTAGGAGCCAAACGGGGTATGAAAGGTGGTATTAGGAGCCAAATGTGGTAAAAGGTGGTATGAGGATCCTTCACCATTAACTTTACCGCTGGAACTACCATATCAGTGAGTCTTGCCCTTTTTTGCGATATCACATTGGCAAAGTCACTAAAAACGATTTATTGCAGAAAATGATGAATTACACTTCCGTGATCCACCGTTGGAGATTCTCAGTGAAACCTTATTGCATTTAGATGTCCACTCGCATTGTGCAGCCAAACGGTGAGAAATTCCGTGATGAGAATTTCCTAAATAAACTCCTTACAAAGTACTAACATAGCACCTTATTATGACATGTTACTGCCAGGCATTCCTTTTTAGTATCTAGCTAACAAAATAAAACCGGAAACGACACATAGCTGCTGTAGTTGGGTAATTCTGACATGCAGTAATAATATTAGTAAATGTATTCAAGAAATACAGTACACTGACATTGTACAGACACCTTGTTCGTGTGTTTGCTGTAATATCTAATGAATATTCAATCGCATCTCAAGACATTCCGCCTCACAGAGTGAACACTTTGTGGTAGCAATTACTGCCTGATCCACCGTCGGTCACATATATCACAATTGACTTCAAACGGATCAGTAGTCAGTGGCCGGGACAACAGGGCACCGAGGGATACCGTACTGCCTTCCTCCTCCAGCGCACTGTCAGCCAGAAAACCAAAGTTTTATCCCTGCTCCATATGGATCACCGCACCCAGTGCATGACCGCGTTGGCACACTGCATTACAGCGTATTACAACGAGACACTGGGATCTCTCACAGTGGAATGCTTATCAGGCGGCCCACGTAGCCAAATACAATTCTACACTGGTGGTATAATGTAGAATTTAGGAAAGGTCAAACCGTTCACAACTCACGACAGTACGGCTCACACTTTATTCAATTCAACGCACATTAGCAAATTTAATTGCCGTCACGTAAGATCGGCAGAAACTCAATTAAATATCCTCTTCATCAACTCGACAGTTTACCGCAGCATCTCAAAACCTGTAATCAGTGTGGTTAGCCACACTGATCAAAACCACAAATGTTACGCTGAACGCTTCAGTATGTTGCTTTGACTAAACATGTTTTCCCTGTCATCTTCGTGAAACATTGCCGCATGGGACTGGAGAACTCTCCGTACTTTCACTACGCTGACGAAAATCCCATTCCCGGGAAAACTTATCTCCCTCTCCTGCGACTATACAGACTGTAAGCCATTTGCCGGCGTCTGCTCCTGCGCCAGCTAGTGATAGGTTTTTCTACGTGGGGATTACCAAACTACACGTTTGTTTATTCAATGCGAAATAGGGCAAAAATGGCCAAGCCGTTCCCGCTGCTCCTAACGATTCCCGCTCTACAGTTCGACACTGCCGGTACTGAGGCTTTTCGGTGCTTTAAACGCGCGCTGTAGCGCCACTGTCCACCTGTGGAGGACACTATAGTTTAATAGTTTAATAGTTTCATCTCGGTAGCAGGTAACCCATTAACCTGCTGTGTTTTGCATACACAGCATGGGAATTTAAACCTGGCCGAACACAACACACGCTCATTATCAAACTCCGCTACAGAAGGCATATGATACAACACAGCTCAGAATTGCAAGCATTATTAGACCCATGCACTGGCACACTAGACAATGGCTAAGCATTGACATAAACGTGTATAAAGCACGCAGACTAAACGCTATAACAACAAGATCCGTATCGTTCGGCCGTATCCGTAGTTGAATGAGGAATGGAGCGCGGGTGCTTTATCCTGATGCGACGAGCGAGTTGAACCATGGAGGATCCGTTTAAGCCCAGGCGTCGAAGAAACGCACACGCCACTCAGTACGGTCAGCGCTGATGCCGACTAACCACGTCGCACACAGCCTTGCGGGCCATGCACTCGCAGCCTGAACTCAGAGTGGTCACCCATCCAAATCCAAACCGCGCTCGATGTAGACTATCTTTCAAAATCCGAAGATCCATCCATTTAGCTACACGGAGTGTGGCATCAGGAAGCGTTTGAAAAGAGTGCATGCTCACTGGGTTCGTACGGTTCGGTATCCGGGCAAGAAGTGGGACGGCCTCAGATGGTTGCTCCAGTTGTGAGTTTAACCGGCCAAATAACGTTCTAATTTGGTGACCTTTGATGTTGCATGTATGTAGGATACCTGTATCAGTTATTAGCATATCCCATTATATTTACTCCATAATTCCATTTATGACACCTGTTGCTTATATTGTTGGTAATCTTTACAGCTATGGAGTGCTGAATTGTGGAAATCTGGATGAGACGGCAGCATGGAATAGTTTAGATATGAGAAAATTTGAAAGTCTGCGTTTAGGCAACTTGCAGGTCTGCCCATCTCTACTTGCGCTGAATCGAAAAACGATAACCAAAATGCTTTAGCGCGCTGCTAATGGGATGACGCATGTCTGGCCTTTGTTTAATGTTGCTTTGAGGACATCGGAACAAGCCATCGGTAGTTAGTTCTGTAACCACACCGGCTTCCGAAGATAACGAATCCGTGGGAGAACCTGGACGGCTGTTAGTAATTTTTACTCTTCTTTTTTTACACTTTTTTACCCCTTAACTTTTAACTTTAAAACTTGCACTTTGGATACCAGCACTGTTACATTGACTGGATGACATTTCAGTGAATTCCCACTGTCAAAATAAATTTATCACGCAAACTTTTGTTGTTCGTTTTGAATGTTCAATACGATTAGGTGTATGCGGGTGCCGCTGTGCCATGAAATGCTCTATGAATGTGTGTCTGCTGTGGAAATCATTAATAAATTAGAGTAGTAGTACTACACTACTACTCTAATTTATTTCAGTTAAACGGTTTAAACACAGTCAGCTGACAAGGTTTGGACTGAGAGGGGTATTGCTGCCCAGATTGACGGATACTGCAGTCAGATTATCGTAATAATTCTTGCAACGCGCCGCCAAGCTCGACATCAGGTCGATACTCTTATCTGACAAGTTGACGGACGACCATCCAGCGCGGCATTTCGTGTCGTAAAATTCTATTGTAAGCGCATGGTATTTCGCCGAATGTCTTCCGCCACAAACGTATATGCGGTCCTTGATCACGCAAGCGGCATGATCATACCTCGGCTGCCCAAGGGCCTCAGTTTGATCCCAGGCACCGGTGTCCAGATTCAGTCGAATGCAGTCAGCTGTGGGAAAGATGCCACCGGGTTCAGCAATTTCCCCGCCCAAGACGTACAGGTGTCCATCCACCACAACCATTGCAAATTTATCCCGTCTTTTGGGCAAATCTGGCAAAGATTTCCATTCGTTGGTTCCGGTATCATACTGGTGCATGGTTACGGTATTATGTCGGTGCATCCCGGGAAATGTCGCATAAAATATATGTTTACCACGCTTTGCCACCGCCTGAATGTAGCCAAGATTGCCGTCGCTGCAGGCATAACAATTGTAATGGTGTGCTAAAATCGTATGCAAGTACATTAAGTGATTGTAAAAATCCAGTAAAAATTGGAAGTCTCGGTACAAGCCAACCCGATGCGCGCATTCACATGAAGGATTTTTTCTCTTCCCAAACATTTGGAAATCAAACGTGTCGCTACGGTTTTGTCAAACTACTTTACAGTTTACACGAAACTACTCGTACACTTACCGAGCTATTGCAGGAGGATCCTTCAGGCGTACAACTTGTCCAGTAAAAATATCCATCTCTTGAAAGGAATCAAAGTAGTCCCAGACATAAAGTTTCTGGTTCACCACGATCGGGTGCATGTGAAAAAATATATCCAATGAAGGCGTCAGCTCCCGACACGTTCCGTTTCCCACATCCCAGAAACTGAATTTCCCGTAAATGTTTTCCAAGCGATCTATTCCTTCAGTGAAAACTATTTCTGTGTCCGTCGCTGCTAACTGTAGCCAGTAACGTGACATCAGGCCTGAGGGCGTCGGTTTGCTTAATGTGTCTTCAGCACAGAACGAGCTATTTGCGGGATCGAATACCATAGACTGTCGGACGTCATTGCCGCAATAGAGAAGAAATACTATAACCTCTTTTCTCTCTAGCTTATGCAGCAGCTCTTTTGCAGATAATCTGTTTTTACTAACTGGATCCAAGCAGTTGCGGATGAGATCTGCCGTGTTCTCTTCAACCTCATCACTGATAAAGGGCACGAAACCTTCGATAATCAGCCTGGCGTACCGGAGATTCGTTTGATCCTTTGCAACATCCACGATCTTTCCACCTCTAATTAGTCGTTTTTTGGGTAAGCGTTTAAAACTTTCAGCCATTTCCAGCACAATGCAACCTAAACTCCAAATATCCGTTGTTCTGCCCGGTGCCTCTGTTCCTTCTTGAGAAAATTTCTTGAGCATTTCTGGCGACATATAGCGCGTTGTACCGCGCAACTGCGAAATGTCTGCCGAACACGTTGAGATTTCGCGCATTTGCACTAAGTCGTCCAAATCACCAATCAGAAGCGTTTCATGACCATCATCTGATATATGCACTAGAATATTTTCCGGTTTTAAATCGCCATGAATTATGCCATTTTGGTGCAGGTATTCCAATCCTCGAACGATGTCGGTTGCGAATTGTTTAAGCTTGGTATCAGCATGCAGATGGTTTTCGGTTTTCTCCGCTTCTTTTAGAAAGGAAGCGAGATCACCTAAAAATTGTATTTCGATGTACACTCACGTTTACATACTTCGATATCATTTGTCTTAAAGAAGGAGATGAAAGTAACTGTCAGGCTTCGGTTTTCGTTTTACCTTGGTGATATTCCATTGCAAGCTCGATGGTGGTTCCACCGGAAGCTTTGGTAATGGCAACTTTATGATAAACAACGAGATTTTCGTGAAACAGTTCAGTAAGCTTGCGCAGTCGTTTTGCGGCTGCCACCCAGTTGTCATGGTCAGGAGCTGTTTCGACATAACCGATATGTACAACCTTGACAGCAACAATATCCTCGCCTGTATAATTGCCACGCTTTGTAACTTTGGCTTTGTAAACAACGCCGAACGATCCCCTGCCAATTAAATCAGCATGACGGTAGCGGTATTGCATACTCCGGCCATACTCTTCGGGTTTGCTGTCCGCGCTGGAAACCTGGTTCCCCATCTCGATTACATAATCAGTTTAAAAACCGACTCTGAAAATGCTGCTCATACCTTTAGTTACGGTAAATCTCGTAAATTTTAATGTTGTATGTATTCAAGCATCAGATAACTCCTTCTTGAAAGTATATGGTTCTGATAACCACCTACACATAAGCGTACTGCGGCATTCAGAATAGAGTGAGCGGAATTACGGAGTAATGCTACAATTATCAGTGGCCTGAATAATACTGTTATCGCAAAAACACAGATAACCCAACCGCACTTATAAAGTGTTCAAGCAAATTAATAGTCAATAAAAAAAATCCTTGGAGCAAACGGCACGTACCCAGGAAAACCCTGCAGTTTTAAAACGGATATAAAAAAACGGCAAACTTTCCCACTGTTTGAAGCAATACAAATGTGACAAGTTTTTGTGTGCACAAACTGCCTCGGCCAGTACGTCGGTTGGTTAAGAGCGGTGGTACTTTTATGGTTTTTCCACGGTGGAGCGCCACTGTCCACCTTTGGACGACACTATCAGGAAGCGTTTGAGAAGAGTGCATGCATGCTGACTGGGTTCGTAATCGTACGGTTCGGTATCCGGGCAAGAAGTGGGACGGCCTCAGATGGTTGCTCCAGTAACCCAGTTGTAAGTCTTGGATTATGATAATTGACAACGGTACCATCGCTAATGAGGTGTGATTTCGGCTCTATTGTGTCATTTGGAATGAGACGCTCCACAAGGTGAAGCATATGCGTCTATGGGAAAAACACCAGTGTAGTCCACATTTCCAAGTGTATACGTTCTTCTACTTGTTTTTTCCAAGTACAATCAAAGAGGACTTGTTCAGCACAAAAAGTATTACAAAACTAAACTAATCTTAACAATTTTATCTGTATCAACAAAATGTTACACACCATTTTCTACAAAAGTAAATGATGTCCCACGTTAGAGCTCTTGCCATATACAAGTAGCCAGGGCGGCGAATTCGCTGTACTTGCATAGCTTACGTTTAATCTTGTACAGAACCTGTGAAGTCTGAGCGTTATTTACTTGTCGTTGAAACGACTGAGAAATTCGATTTATGACAAGTTTTTAATAACGACTTACATACATATGTTACACTTTTAATGCTTTTACTTTATAATCATATGTTTACAAATTATGTATTTACACTTTTCTGCAGTTTATTACTAATCTTTAAAATTCTGCTAAAACCGAACTAGTTTTGAAAAGTTAAACGGATCTTTTGAGTGCTGCAAGCAAAAACAATAACGATGTGAATTTTGTAAAAACGTCAGCTGATAATGCCTGATATCTATATTACTATTGAAAATATACTGAAACGTTTGCACCGAGATCCAATATCAACAATTTCGCTGAAAGACGTTTTCCTTTATATCATAAAAAGTGTGTGGTAGTAACTAGTACTAACTACTACTATTTTGTAAACATTGTCTGAATTATTTACATATCCTGAAGATATCCCAGAAAGCGCATGCGCGCGCTATAACATAACATCCTAAATAAACTTTTACAGTATTTAGCGGGCGTTTTTAGAGAATCGAAGTTGTAACTTGTAATCAAATTAGCTACTACAACCATTCCTTAAGGTCCAGCAATCGTCGTTAATCCACAGGCTGTTTACAAAATTTCTGGAACTACTTACAGTAAACATAACTTAAAATATTTCCATTTTCACATTTTGCGTAGCATATAATTTCAACATTGAATTCGAACTCTCAAACATATTTGCACCATGTCAGTGCAAAAGCATGGTTAGATTACTTCCATACATATGGCATTTCAGTAATAAAGTGTATAACTTCATTTAAATGTGTTATAGTAAGCGACATTTAAAAGCAAAACGACATTAAACGACGAAAAAACAGACTGATTCCGAATGGAGTTCTGCATATGGCGGTATATGTCTCACGATATTCTCTCATTCCAAATGACAAGCGCTAGGCACGCTACGCCTCTTATACCCTCGGCACGCCTGATGGTACGGTTGCTATTGTCTTCTGCTGTGAATCACTTATTAGACGGCTCTGTTGCAAAGTTGTAATGTGAACTACAGTGTGAAAAGTGTAACGTCAGTTAACGTCTACAACAAGTGGAAGGATGTCTACAACAAGCGGAAGGACCGGAAAAATTCAGTCTAGCTTCTTATGAATAGCGACGGCCAACTCTCTCTTTGGTTTGAGTATTAAAGGTTATTAAGCGCCATGATTTTAGTTCTTCCGCTGACCTTTAGTTGCAGCCAAGATTTAGTTTTACTCCACCACAAATCATCAACAGAACGCGACAAAACGCTTGTTGACGACTTACGCCCGTTGACAAAACACTGACGCGGATGGCAGAGTAGGGCAAGGAGGAGGGTACAGGAGTGTTCAAGTAACACGATACAGGCACAATCTAATGGTAAGTACTCATCACATACAATTGCGCGCCCCGGTGTTTCTGCAAGTTAGTCACATCCGGCTCCGATTCGAGTGCTATAAATCCTATAATTATGGCGTATAGTACATATGTACGTGTGCGAACAGCACGTACGCACTCATACCTACACCTGGGCTCTGTCTAATGTTTTTCTGCCTGTTTCCCTGTATGCATACCTTTATTTATGCTTCCGCTTTCCACAGCACTTTGCAGGAAATAGAATAAAACAGCTTCTGTAACGGGGGATTCCTGTCTCATGTATTAGTATGTACGAGTATGTGCTTGGTTGTCCCGCCTCTTGTATTTCCTGTTCCTGTACGAGCGATTCAGTATATATAGCGATGTATTTCCTGCGGTATCTTCAGTCGTTGGGTTAGCAATATTTCGAGCAGTATCAGCCGGTTCCGTTGCCCGTTATACTTGGAGTCGCATACCGAGAACGAAATTTTTTTTTCCAAGTCGACAGTTTCAGTGCCCTTTTAACTTTTACCACCGCTACCCCTCCGCCTCCCTGTTCCAACAGCCAACAGGTAAGTCCTTATGTATCACGTCCAATTTTTTTTTCCAAAAAGAACAGCTGTAACTGATTTCAACCTAATGCTGTTTTCGAATTCCATAACGCGCCATTTTTAAGTAATTTAATTGATAACTGCAAAGTCAACTTTACGCAGTTAGGAGGCTGACTTTAATTGATATCACTAATTACCAGCAAGCCAGTATCATGGCTCTAGACCCCCAAGCACTGCAAAATATTCTTAACACCGTTAATCTCGCTACTGCACAGCAGAACGCCGCTTTACAGCAAAGCCTTCAGGATAACGCAACCGCCCATCAGAATTTATTAAATTTTTTGAATAATCAAAATGCCGCTGCAGTTACCCGTATAACATCTCTCGAATTGGGCGATTTACCGAAGTTTGGTGGTTTTTCTTACGAAGACGCTCAGGACTTTTTAACGCAGTTTGAGACGATGGCCGTTGCTAATAACTTCACACCAGCTAACAGAATCCAACATTTTGCGCTCTGTTTGCGGAATAACGCCCTTCGCTGGTATACCGCAGAACTAGCAGGTATCGCATGGCCAGACCTTCGATCTCATTTTTTAACAGCTTTCGGAAAAACTCGTTTTGAACTTGATCTTATGAATGAAGGTTGTCGTACATTAGCATTTACAGATCCTCGTACTTTTGTCCATCGTGTTCTTGATTACGTGGAAACCAGTAATCCCGCAGCTACCGAAGTAGAAAAAACAGTTCGTCTCTTCGAAGCCTTGCCCCTTGAATTTAAACCGGCATTCGTGACTAACAGCCCCAGAACCGTAGCCGATTTTTTCAATCGTTTACGTGATGTGTCCGTTAAGCAACAATACAGGCTCGCAATGCAGAATCAAAATTCTTCATATCAGGCGTTCAATAATGTTGCAGATCAGTCAAATCTTTTGTCGCTATACAGCCAACCGACAGCGCCTACCTCGAATCAGATACAGATTGTCGCTCATAACCTTATGAAAGGTTTGGATGAAAGACTGAAGCATCTTGCTGAACAAATAAAGTGTTTACAGGAAAATAACGAATCAGAGGGCAGTCACGATCTTTCTCAGAATTACTTAACGGGTAATGCGAACCGGTCAACCCTTCGACTCACAGATGCGCCAGGCCAGGTTAATGGATGCTCTAATTGCGGTAGTTATGATCATCTTTCGTATGCTTGCCCGTTTGGAGGTGGCCACTCTACGCAGGCACAGTATGCACAGGGAGAACAAGCTTCTGAAGATCGTTATCCGATGTCATTCGGTGTAGCACAGCATCCGCCAACGACGCAGCAACCGACTTTTAACACACCCGGTAAATTACCATCTTAGGCGCAGCAGTTTTGGTCTGCAGAATCTCAGGTCACCGGTAGTGCACAATCGGCGTATTCGAGATGGCAGATTTAACTTTTCTGGTCTATTTGTCATTCGTACGTAAAATTTGTTTAGGTTTTGTAAATTTTGTGCTCTTTAAATTTGTTCGTAATTTGGTATTGCGTTTAATAATTAGTGATGCCTGCCCGTTGATTTTGGAGGCTGCAGCAGTATTTATTGTTATTGAGGAAAGGGCAGATGAGTGAGAAAATGTTTGAGGTTGACAGCGCTGATTCGCTGAAATATTAGATTTTTTTGATGATGGCCAGATGTGAAAAGCCTCGCGATGGTAACGGTAATGGTTAATGTAACGTTATGTGCAGAAATGGATTTTGGGATATATTTAAATTGTTATCGCATATGCGCAGCTCAGCTTAAATCTTATCTATCATTAATTTCCGCCGCTGGTTCGGCTAATGACATAAAATGCCAGATGTTGTAGTTTCGTTTTCGGCAGTCAGAGATCGTTAATGTCAACTTAAATTATAAAATTTTGAATAAAATCGTGAAAATCCAGATGTACTGCCAGTAAAAGTTAAAAATAAATTAAAGCTTTCGATTCCAGCGAAAACAAGATCATAAATTTAAATGTCAGCGTTCACAACACATGACGGCATACTTGGCACAAAAAACATAAATATTATTTTTCGAAATTCCCATTAACTGGTGCGGTTATGTTTTACTACGGCAATATGCGCATGGATTTTGGGCAACGGACAATTATGAATGTTCGTTCTGACTACGAAGAAAATAACTGAATGGTTCGATTTATGGTTGTGTAAACTGTAAAGTGTATGGTAAACATTATGCGCTCTTTTATTTAACTAATAATCTCGTCGAACAGAAGCCGCAGCTTGGTCACCCTTGTATACCACGGCAGCTCAAGTAAGTATTTGTGCTGAATTGATTAACGCTAATCACGTAAAATGAAATTGAAGAAGATCAAGAAAAATTTATGGAAAAGGGCTTTTGCACGAGCAAATCTATTTATATTCGCTCATATACGGGTGCGTGCTATAAACGCCCATCCTTGTTTCGTTGCGTCGTGACCTAATTTTCGACCATATAGACGGGCCACGGCTATAAACGCCTGCCCTTGTCCGTGCCCTCTGTCTCTATTGTAATCGTGTCGTCATCCAGGTGCGCCTATAAACGGTCCCTGTTGGTTTAATTCTTTCAATCAAGCCCCAAACATCTGACGATTTTAATGATGAATTGTTTGGAAAGTCGCGTTAAAAAAAAACTGCTTCATGCTCAATAGCAAACTTGTGTTCCACCGGTCGAGCTCGCCTGTTGGTAGTCTACCATCATCACTGCTGCACAGTGCTTCTGACGGTAAGTATTTTGTTTATTTTAAAACGTGAAATTTGTTTTTAAAAAAATGTATATTTCTGTGCGCATATCGCGGTATTGGAAAATGGGTGTCCCTTCCTTAGTACGGGTATAACAAAGTTTTTGTTCTGAAGTCATGCATTGTTTGTTGTTCTGATGATATTGGTTTGGACTTAACTCTGGTTAGCGAATAATTTTTTGTGTGCCAGCAGATTACGACAGTACATTTCTCGACGTGATTTAATCTTTTGTACTTGTTTCGTTAATTTATATGTCATAGTGTAAAGGCGTAAGTACATCTTTTCTCAATTCAAGAACAGAATCTTAACAGATAGTACTGCCACTTCCGTAATATTAACAGTATGCATCTTTTGTTATTTCTTGCCACTCTTTTGTTATTTCTTATTATAATTTTATTAGCAGCCAAACATGTGTCACATCTTGTCACCTATTTTCCTTTTTTTTTAATCTTGGTTTGCCAGTCGATTATCTTTTTTAGCCGGTCGTACTATTCTCAGCAATTCTGTATAGCCAGAACAGGGAAGATCATTGCATCTGCTGGATATTCATTTTCCATTTGGCCCGATGAAGCACCTCTTGATTTTATTAGGAAAGTAACTTTGGCCCGATTCTCTCCCCGCTCTATCTTTTTCTCTGTGTTCACGCCTCACCAGTTCTCATGCGTCCATGCATACCCGTCGCATCACTTCACACAAACAGAGAGCACATGTTATCTCTTGCTCCTAGCATCCTGTCTGCACTGCTGATCCTCATAACTCTGTCTTGCCAATTATCACACGAATTCACCCCATTGTAATGCGCTCGCTTTACGCAGTATTGCTAATGTGCCTTTGCCCTCCCCATCTCATCCGCATTGTTCTCATCATTTCATGCGCATTGTCCCTTATCTCGCTCCAGTCATTGTACATTCATGAATCATTGTCGCATTATTGCCATACAATGTCATACACTTCACTGACTGTAAGAATTTGGCGAGGTTTTTTTAAAGGTTGCGTTTCGGGAATATCCGATTTTTTTTGCGGCAATTGCAATGATTGAACTTGAATTAAATTAGCGCGTTATATCAAAATTACGAACAAAATATTTGTAAATATAAGTAGGGTTGCGTCAATGCGTGTTCGAGTTTTTCAGAACCAGAAGTTTGTAATGGTTTTCTACTGGTGTACTGACGTCGTGGACATCGATATTACTCTTCCTTTCCCAAGACCATTAGGAACCCCGATGACGCATGTCTGTGTGGACTAAGTGGCCATTTTTCAACGTGGGGTGGATCGTCGAACGGATACAACAATTAACGTCGTACGTAGAACCGGACGGTAACAGCAACTATCGTCGTACGTGGAACGCTTCGGAATTCGGATCATATTTGCCTTATTTACCTATTATTTTATTACTAATGTTTTCGAACTAAATCTACGTTTTGTACTCCCAAAAAAATCTGATCGTGATTTCTCTAGTGCTATTGCAAGCTTTATATTTTCGTTTGTATATGTTTTTTCTTAGTTTTTTCCTGAAAACATTCTGTTTTCAGTCTGGTAAGAGGGGAGTGTAACGGGGGATTCCTGTCTCATGTATTAGTATGTACGAGTATGTGCTTGGTTGTCCCGCCTCTTGTATTTCCTGTTCCTGTACGAGCGATTCAGTATATATAGCGATGTATTTCCTGCGGTATCTTCAGTCGTTGGGTTAGCAATATTTCGAGCAGTATCAGCCGGTTCCGTTGCCCGTTATACTTCTACAAACAGCAGTAACAGGCGAGCGATCGATAGTAGCAGACTGGTATTGTGTCTCCTCTTTTCCTTTTCCCACTGGCTGACATCATACTGACGAGCCGTCTGAGTCAGCCTGTGACTGCAAGCGGGTGCAGTCACGCTGTTAAGATCGATCAGTGTTTGTTTGCAACTTTGGATAGAAACGCCGTTCACGTCGTTTTTTAGGTTTTCCGTACGCTCCGCTTCTATTTCTATATCACAGCTCGTCTTCTGCTGACATTCTGTAGGTTCCCAGCGCTGGTTGGCCGTGTAACCGTTTATATCCGCATCCTGTTTTTTCGTTGTGTAGCCAGTGTCTAGCCACAAAAGACGGAGTCAGACACTTTGCTTTGGTCTCCCTGTACTGCGATTTTTTTCTTCAGTATTTCAGATTGCTAAAACCTACTTTTCTCGCATCCCTAGGAAACCGTTCGGCTAAAAACTCAACAGTTTCCAACGCCTTCCTTGTGAAGATGCCGTATCCTTATGAATATTTTTCGGGCATCAAAAGCAGGTGTCCCGGCCAGTGGAACATCAACAATGCTGTGATGGTGAATTTAGTCGGTGATGATTTCTACCTGGCCTATTTACAGGACATCGACGGCGATCTAGTCTTTGTGGATTTCGATTGCACCAAAATCCCCTCTTGGTGGGTGTCAGCCGATCGCGTCTATCGACATAATTTATACGGGGAGCGGGTGAAGCATGACTCTGTTTTTGTGGCTGTGCGCGAAGAAGACAACGGTCCGTACATTTTCCGTCCGGCCAAGCTATTACGCAATTCCACACTTAGCACGAATTACCTCTGCTGTGTTTCACTAAATACTACGCAGGATCCAAAGAATTCGTTTCGAGTGGTACATCAGTGGCAACTTTCGAGCGTGCTGCCGAGTCAGTATACGGACCTTCCAACAAAAATCACGGAAGATCATGTCGAAAAGGTAGTCGTTCGTGTTGACAACATGGGCTTCCTGAAACATATTGACGAATACCACATAACACGGCTCCTTGATATGGGATTTCGTGACGGGTTCAGTCCGATCGGCTGGCGGGTATGTCACATTTCTAGCCTGTCATAATACCACCAAGGAGTACTATACTGGTTGAAGAATGACAGCGCTGGAGCAATGAATATTAATCTCACCGTCACCGACATAAATGTGAATCAGCGCGTATTCAGACGCTTTTTCAGCTTCGTATGTGTATATTCATTTTTTTCATTGCAGGCTTTTGACGTCGCTCACAAGGACGATCGGGATCAGCTTTTCGTTCGGCTAACCGGAAGGACGTTGACGTTCGTAATAATGCAAGCATCGTGCTTTCATGTCTTCTGGAATACGAGGATCCCGTTATTCTTGCCTCGCCAGAAGAGAAAAAATCTAAGAAAGTACTCTCGTACCATAATTGTACTTGCTGGAAAAAGGAAATCGCTAAAGATATTTCGTTCGGAATAAACAGCTATCTCCGACGGTACTGTTACCGACCGGAAACTGCATATCCGTTTCCATGCGAAAGCCTTGTAGGTAAGACATAACTATAAGCAACTACCACTGGTTTACTACATTTCCTTAACGGAAATATGTTTTGGAGACAGCGAAAGAGTAACACCAGGACTGTTCATGTGGTTGCTTTACCAGCTCCTGGATAAAAATGACATGCGGCATGTGTACTTATAAAGAATTGAAAACATAATATCATTATAAAAACCAGCTCCAGGGATAAAATTAAAGATAGAAAAATTTTCAAAGGAGAGAAGATCCAGGAGGGATGGCATATCGTTATTCCGTAGCTAACAGAATCCATAATTGCATTAGTCTTGATATAGTAGAGGGTTGTGTTGTAGATGAAGTTCCGTCGCTTGGCAATATACCGTTTGAAGTTCAGTCCACCGTTTGGATGTTCATTCCACCGTTTGGTTTGGATGTTTGGATTGCAGTATTTGGATGTTCATTCGCAGGCGGCAGCAAAACGGTGAGTGACCGTCAGGTGTAAAGAATCGAATTAACTCTAATTATCGGAATCTATGGGGGCAAGGATTTACCGTGCCTTTTTACCACTTTTTACCAGGACAATCGGTTCCTCGTTGTGCCATACAGTGTACGCAAAGCACACACTCCAAAATCAGAAACCGACTCAGCTTTACTAAGCTTAATGATAAAATTGAAATAATGCTGGAGAAGGAATAAAGATATCGCGCTCTTAAGCCGGCAGCACGTACGAGCTATCTGTAAATGTAACATTCTGATAACTCTACCAGCTTATCACTTGTTGCAGAGTATGCTCTCTGTGGAACGCCTTAGTGCCTGATCCAGCATCCGCTGCGGCTGTCACGGTTGATTTTACCCAGATCAGTGACACCTTGCCGGGGCTGTTGGAAACAGAGGGATACCGCACTGCGTATCTGTTACACCGCGTGGTCAGCCAGAAAACCAAAGCGTTGGCGCTGCTGCACCTGGACCACCGCACAGACTGTATAACGGCTTTGGTTGGGTGCATAAAAGAACTACTCGGTCTGAAACAAACAAACATCTTTCTGATCTCCGTCAGTTACTGCCGGATGCCATTTGAAAGCCGTCGAGTGGGTTGTAGCAACCCTGACGAGCCGATTCACGGAAAAATATTGTTCCAACTGCTTCCACTAAAAAAGCTCTGTCGACATCTGCGGATCCGGCACCTAGTTATGGATTTTTCCTTGTGTAATATACGACCACGTACTTTTTTTATGAAAAAGATCAGGGATGAATGCGAAAAAACTTGCAACCTGATGATCGTGATTCCCGTAATGGACGTCGAAAACGACGATGAAAATGCAAACGTTAGATCCTTTAAGCGAGCACTGGAGACATGCTGTCCAACCGTTGACAATGCCACCAAGAAACGTATTAGAAAGCTGTATACTCGCTGGCTGCGAACTATCCCGTATCCCAATGAACAGTGGACTGGTTTACGACGACTACTCGAACTGTAAGTATGCGATTCGATGTTCGACTCAAATGCCAAAAACTTCGGTACGCTTGCATGTTGCAGTGTTTTGAATTATACAAAAGCTTGAATTCTGTTTGCATGGCACATGACTGTATCTTATCATTGCATATTGCAGTTTTGGAGTGCTGGAATGCGGTAACACTGATGAAACGGAAGCATGGGAAAACTTGGACTTGCGCAACTTCGACAATATTCCCTTTGGTAATCTTCAGTTGTCAATTCTTGCCCATTTCTACGTCGACTGACTACAGCCCTTCCGTTTCTTCGACGGCAGTGGGTTCCCTTCTTTGTTGGCAGGTGTTTTGTTAAGTAGTTTTTAATAAATGCTTATTGTAATGCTGTTTTTCTTACCAAAGCTTTGACGGCATTAATGTGATTTTGGCCATACCTAAAATTACATATGAAAACTGCTAGTTCAGGCAGTACATGTCCGATAGAGCTGTTGCAAACGAACTGAGATGTTTTTTTAGTTTATGAAATGATAACGGTTGGCATGCATCTATTATTTTTCTTTGTAGTTGAAGAATAAGAAGGACTGGTTGCAACGAATTTTGTTTTAGGCGTCCAGAAATTTGTGAGTCAAAACGCACATTCGCAGCAGTAATATTCACTTAAATATTCCATTCGGGAATCTCCAGCTTACCATTCTTGCCCGTTACCCCTCAATCAACTTATTCTACTGAAAATATTTAGCGGCATTAATTTCGGGGCGGTTAGAGCTTTCGATTTATGTTGTTATAATCTTCGGAAACAACAAAATCACTCTTGATCGGTTGGCAGTGACCTTAGTAATTTGTGCTTGAAAATCTTATTATCAAAAGATTTGTTGCACTGATGCAACCTCCGAATTACCCAATGTTGGGAAAAGTTAAAAACTACCGGTTCAAGAATTGTACCTATGCTACCAGGGAAAGAACATCATAACACAGGCATCTGATCCATGCTGGTTCTATTGAATTATTTTCGTAATACATCGGTGAATATTTCTTGCATTTGTTTGGTATCTGTCGCAAGATCGAAGTAAACAACGGCAGTGCTTTCGGCTTTATGCCTTCTATACAAGAATGTACAACTATCCATACTTCTACCCATTAACAATATTGGTTAAAGACATTAGCGCAATACGCAAGAACATTAACTTTGGCTCCTAAATTTAAGAAATATCTTTATTTCATAGCTAGGCTGGCATAAAAATGAACCACAAATGAAATTAGATAAATCTTTAACCAAATGGAAAATGAAATTACTTATTTGTACACCGGTCATTATATGACACTGGCGTCACTGGCGGGGCTGCCTAAGGCTTCTTCTTCTTGTCTTGATCTTTTTCCCAAGGCTTTCCGTGTGTCTGGCGCAAAAGCTTTATTCCCTTTTCAAATTCCTTTTCACTCATCTCCTTTTCGCTTTGTACCGGCACGGTAAAGCCGATTAGCAGCGCACACACCATTCCCGTAAAAAATATCCACGTAAAGCGCATTCTCCGGTTGTATAAATTGTTAAACGGTTGTATAACACGAACTTACGGTGAAAATGTAAGCAAAATGTAAGTTAAGCGCAGGTACACGTCGTTTAAATAATTTCTGATATTGTATTGATTTTGTATGAGATGTCGTCGTATAAAAAACAACGAAGCTGAAAGCAACCTGCGGCGTATAAAAAATTCACGGTTTATTGCAAAAAAACAAATGTTATTGCAGCTGCAATAAAGCGGAATTTTCCGTAAAAAATACATCGGTTAAGCAGTGTAATAATTAGTGCATGCTTATATTATTAAGTTATGTTATGTCACAAATGGCACTGTATGTTCGCCCAGGTTCATGGCCAACATTTTGCCATTTTGACATTTTTTGATTTGTCCAGCCTAAAAAATGCTCGAACGGCTGTAGAAAGTTTATTTTGGGCGTTTTTTTCAGCTGCAATCTGCATGCATTCTGTAAAGTGCAAAGCGTAGACTAAAACGGCCAATCGGAACGACACGCCGGCAGCACCGTCTACAATTTTGCCAATTTAAGGTTTGCAGTTAAACGCTGTAGTGCAGCGGCCATCGTGCTAACAGTAAGCGATATCGCGCTCAGCTAACGACGTTAGCTGTACCTTTTTACGTGCTCAATCTCCGAACCGGGTTGTACATACCTCGTAAAAAAGTGGTTACTTTCCATGATCTGGGCAGAATAATAACAATTGAGCAAGGCAAAACGACGTCGCTTGTTGTAAGCAGGTGCGCTCATACCGTACAAGCACTTGCTTGTAAAAATTTAAAAATAATATTAATTTTATAAAGCAGGTTCGTGAGTGATACATCAGTGACCTCTGGTGCTTCTACGAAGGAAAACTGAGTTCCGGAAATGGATATATTACACCCCTTGTATGATGTGTTATTAGTTGGCTCATCTTACGAATGTAACATGTGGGCGTGTCTTCCGAAACGTTTGTAAGGAACAATCATGCTTTCATGGATGAATTCTGATCACTTACGAAGGGAATCCGAAAAGTGTGATGCGCTGTTACAAACTTACAATACGGTTCACAGGGTGCGAGTCAGTACAGATAGCTGTAGGAGAACGGATAAACCGATTTTGAGCCATTATTTGCGAATCATATGGCAGGATTTATCCTTTTAATTCCACCGAAGACTTTGAGTTTGTTTTGTTGAGTTGTGTATGTCGCAAAAAGAAAGAAACTGTATACGGATAAGCGGCCCGCGCTGAAGCGCTGAGTCTGAGTCTGACCCCTAAAAGGCTGAGTCTGACTACTGAGGGGCTGAGTCTGAGTACTAAAAAGCTGAGTCTGACTATAAAATGCAGAGTTTTCCTAAAACTGCTATGGTGTCAAGTCTCGATGACTTTAACACTGGACGAAAAATTTGCGACATTCGGGCCAGCAAAACCCCGTATTACATGCAACCCTATGACCAAGTAATATCTATATACGTGTGCAACCAATTGCGGTGATCGGGATGTACGCGGTACGGGACGTACACGGCACACCGAACGTTATTAATTAACTGAAGTTAATTTATGTAAGTTAAAATAAAACTGAAGTTAATTTAATTACAACTGTAATGTGCCCTAGCCCGGCACTTAAAGGACATTGCAGCCACGAAATTGAAATTTCTACAGTGCAGCCGCGTACACGATTCGCGCAACTAGTGCGGGATAAGCGCGAATATGCTGTACATTTATTCTGCTACTTCTATACTGCTAGTCTAATACTGCAGAGCGCATAGCATACAATTGCAGGTTGAGGTGCATTAGTGAACATGTACGATAAGCCGATAATGCGCGCTCATAACTAGATCATAACCAGATCTTAGATCCTAGATCCTGGTATAATTAGCCGGGAATATTCATTATGCAGTATGCACTGACAATTAAACATATGAAACACGGTTTAATAAAGACAAATGCATTACATCAGTGGTATAATAAAGAATTCTGCCTGCCAGCAGTTGCACTCAAAGTGAAAGGCATCAACCTCCTAATGTGCATATCGTACAGGTTCAGATAACGTAGCTACGAGTACTAATCAGAGCGTCAATTAAATTAAGTACGAGTATAAAAAATGAAAAATAAAATTCATTAGGATTTTGTGGCAACTTCTGAAACTTAGACTGTTCGTTGCAGTATTTACCTAGTTATTCCGGATTAACTTCCAGCTGATCAGCTACGAAGGCGAGTCGGTGGTTTTGTTATGCCCATGTCGTGCAGAACTGAAATTCTAATAGTACTACTTTGGCAGAGTAGGCTAGTATATTCGTTAAACTGCTGATATGTTGCTGCAGTTAACGCGGTATGGTTTTTTGCTTCATTAACAATAGCTATAATTAGTGCTATTATTTGAACCTGCATGATACGCGCATCAACAAACACCTCATACGATTATCGTAGTGAGAAGCCGACAGGTACATTTTTCTTTGAGGTAGTGCTATTCTTTATTACTCTACTGGTGTAATTCTTGTGTTTTATTCAATTTATTGAGCTTTGTTGCATAGGCTTACTAGTCAGTGCATATCACCGTATTATTATAGGTAGATCTGATTAATGCGCACATTACCGGCTTATTATTCAGTATACATGGTACAGCAATTACGTAGTTGAATTACTGTAACTGAAATAATTTTAATCTTTTTTTGGCCGGGAATGCCGAATAGCGCTATAATTGTGGTTATTTCTTTCGATCTGTTCAACGTTTGTGTTCCTGCAGTTATACTCTTAAAAACGTACGGTAAACGTCTCGTATTGGATTACCGCATGGGGTGTTGCCAAGTCAATAACATTTTGCAATATACTTTGTTTCAGCGTTGTATGTACCATATGCTGGACCATATGATTCTCTGGACGCATATTTCCGGTCAAGAGTTAAAGTCGTCGAGATATTACTTTAACACTCTCAGCCTCTTAATAGTCCGACTCAGCCCTTTAGTGCTCAGACTCAGACTTTCAGTAGTCAGACTCAGTCTTTTAGGGGTCAGACTCAGACTCAGCGCTTCAGTGCGGGCCCGGATAAGCAGACTTTTGTTTTAATGCTTAGTGGTTGTGACCTATGAGATCTGATTACAAGATCTAATTTTTTAGCTTTTAGATTGGCTGATCGGGAATGATAAGTGCCCGATTGTTGTTTTTCCTGACGGCTTTGCTGTGGCACGTTAACACGTGGTGAATACGTACAGTAAATATGTCAGTATTTTCTGATTACAAGGGCATTATGCGCAATTCTCTTATTTCAAAATGTCATACGCATTTTTCTGCCAATAGTTTAGCTCCGCCTAATATGTTCTTATATATTTTTCTAAGCGTATGTATGTTCACTGTTCAGTGCATGGGGCTGTAGACGTGCAGTATAGTAAATGCATGAACGTTGTTTTAGTTTTATTGCATCGAGTTATTTACCGAACACAAGATCTGTTATTCAGTCGCAAAACAGATAAATACGACGGCAGTGAGGTTAGCTTTCTGGTTTACAAAACGAGCAATTATTTACACGCATATTCACCATAAAAATGCAGTTTTAGTAGTTGGTAGATAGTACAGCACACGAGAATATTAATATAGGAGGGAAAATGAGTCTAGCCGAACCAGTCCCTTGTACTTCTGATGTCACCGGCTGGTCTTTTACGTTGTGGCTATACATGGTGCTTATGTACCGCGCCTGATTTAACCGTATGTATTGCCGTAACGTCACACTCCAGGCGGGTGACGGCAGCAGTACAGGGAACCGGGCCGAGTAGACTTGTTTGTCCCCCTATATTGTTGAACTGCAATACATGCAACGGTGCAAACTATTCCGCCCCAATCCCTCCACGATTTCAATCCGTTCGAACTTCTGATCAACAAATCACAAGAAACATTTTTAGCTCACATTTCCGTTATCATACAAAAATTGAATGAAAATAAAAATCATAAAAATCTTGAAAGAAAACGGAATAATTTTACCCACATTACAATGTAGGACTAAATGGTCGCATAGCCCCATACCCAGCATTCTGTACGCAAGCGGTGCAGTGCACTTGTACGAAACGGATATTTTGAACAGTCGTACAGTGCACTGCG